ACCAGATTTGAAAATGAAAAAAAACTTGGTCTTTACAGAAGTCTTTCTAAAACTCAGAAAGTGCAAAAGACTTTAAACATTAAACAATTTTAATAGATGTTTCTGTACAATGCTAACTAGTTTTATTTACACATAGAAAATGTAAAAGGAGTAGTGTGTAAAATGACAGAACTCCTTCATATTTAATGGCAGGTAAATCTCAAAACAAAACAAAATAAAACACTGCATTCACAAGTATTTTCAAGCAATAAATATGTATTCATAAATAGTGTGAATCTGTATCAAGATTAAAAACAAAAATCACAAATCTAAGTTTATTCCTTACTCTATGTGCAATCCATTATTTTTGTGTCCTATTATACTACTAAATTTTTAAAAAAAAATTATTTTGGAACCAAAAGTGTAATTACCATGGCGTCCAATTGACACACACAAACAAAGCAGTAAAAAAAATTTTCTCATCTAATTTTTACATTAAAAAAAAAGTTGGTCAAAGATATGAATTTGTTATCCTAACCAAACAAATGACCAGCTAGGACAGTTTTTGTCCTCCAGAAAAATTCTTAAAGGGTAAAATATAGATAAAAATAAATTTATCCAGAAATCGAGAAACAAAAAAAGGTGTAAAGTCAGTAGTGTGTTGAAAATTGCCAGTTTTGTCAGATACCACCATGAAACGTATTTATTATTAAGTACAACTGGATATGCTTTGTGAGAGTCTTGGCAGCGCTCTGTTCTTGAAAGGTTGCATAGAAATAGCTTTTAGTCAGCAATCTTAATAGCTGACAAAACCAGTGGTGCAAAACTTTCCTGAAGAGCAGAAAAGGCATCATTTAATATTCATGGGGCAATATCAAGAAGAGGAGGAGGAGAACGAAGGAACCTAAAATTAAAAATAAGGTATATTAATTCTTAGCAGTATTCTCGAGCTCATGGCTATAAATGATATACCACTTACTTATAAAATGAGTTAAACAAACATTGAATGTCCTAAGTTAAGCATTCTGCTAAGTGATGTACCTCTTACTATGTCCACTGCAACCAGTTTCCTAAGTGTTCTAAATCACTAACCCCATTTTCCTGTACTTCATTATTTAGTCAAAAATTTTTATGAAACATTATTAAACTCACAAATCTTTTAGATGCTAAAAGAGTGTTTTGTGGAAAATAATTTAAAAATTCAATTAAAATCTCACTAGTGAGTAACTAGCTTATATATTTCACATGTATGTCATAAATTATTTATTTATCAAGCAATCCTGAAAGCCACCCAATTAAAAACACTAGAAACTTAATTTCAAAATTTAGAACTGGGACTGGATCAATTATCAACAACTCATGAATAACTACTGTGTTTGCATTCATAACGCCATGCAGTGCCAGAAGTACTAAATGCTATTCCAAGCAACTTATCCTTGAAATGAGGAACTGCTGAATTCACAATACTGCTAATTTAATTTCATGCATCCCATGTATCACACCACCTAGACAAAGCCATCATCAAACATTTCTATGAGTTTACTACTTATGGCAAGGTCTAGGTCTTTTTTTTTGTTAATCCTCACCCAAGGATATGTTTTCCACTGATTGTTACAGAGAGAGTGGAAGGGAGAGAAGAGGAGGAGAGAGGAAGAAACACAAATGTGAGAGAGAGACATCAATTGATTGCTTCCTGAACTTGCCCCAACTAGGGCTGGGGATTGAACCTGCAACCCAGGTACGTGTCCTTGACCCTGAATCAAACCTGAGACCCTTTGGTCTGCAGGCCAACACTCTAACCAGAGCCAAAATGGCCAAGGCAGGACCAGGCTTTAAATAAATACAGTTAGCTCTGAAAACACAAGTACATTAAAAAAATACTGATTTCTTTTTGGATCATCACTAATTTGGTTTCAGACTTAGTTAAGTCAAATAGCATAATGACTATGATAATAATTTAAAATGTAATTTTTCTGACAATTATTTAGGCATTTTCACCTTCTAAGAAGAAAAAATAGTAATACATACCAATTTATCATATAAGCTTCTCAGAAGTTTGAACAGGAATTTTTTTTCTTACGCAATAGAAAACTTAAATATCTAATTACTGTCAAATGCCAAAAACAAACAGTGCTGCTTCACAACCTAGCTGTGTACTCACACGCTGATTTCACTTACTAATGTAAATTGGTCATAGACTTTCATCAGGTCCTCCATTTTGTACTGTTCTAGCACCACAAAATTGTCCAGATTTCCACTTGTTTTTCGTGCACAGTCTTGGCAATGTACTATGTAGGTCTTTTGAGAATTGCTTTCATTAGTAACAAAAAGCAGATCAAAAACTTCCACCTATTTTATACAAGAGAAAAAAAAACACCACTGAATAGAGAGAAATTTACTGTACCACTTTTAAGTATGAGTATGAAATTCTACTTTGTGTGAATTTGTGGAAAGTGGTTTTTCATTGAATGCAGGCACTTAAAGAAAAACCTCTGGGCTTTGTTTTAGACATCAGGTTTATTTTGTAGTACATCCAAAATGAATGCTAGTTACATATTTAGACACTGACCTAAGGGAACTAAGTACTCATTACACACACTAAAGATTAACTCTAAGTTTGATAAAAAAGTCAGTCTATTTTTATTTTATCCAAAATATAACAAGCAAATAAATAAAAGTGATTATTTTTTCTTTTAACTTTTCCACAGTAATATTCACAGTTTGGGTATTTGTCTCACTTACACACTAAGCTTCACAAAGTTAGCAACTACATATTATTTATTTTTGGACCTCTCTAGAGCATATCATTCATTGTGCTTAATGTTTAAAGAAAGCTTTTTTAAAAAAAACCAAACAAAAGCCCAAAACCACACAAGAAAAGAAAACCACTTGAATGAACAGAAACATGTTATTTTTAAAAGCTGAAAACTCACAGAACAACAAATGTTCAGTTCTAAGATTCATATATTAAGGAAAATAGTACAGAGTGTATTAATGAGCATTAACATACAAAGAGAGATTAAAGATCTCATACAAAAGGAATGATGAGTTAAAAAGGTTCAGACAGGGTAAAAGATGTATCACTTGTTTTCAAATACCAAAAAGATACATATTTATATGTTAAGTATAACACCTAACCATAATCTGTTTTATAAACCTCCAATTCTAGCCATTTTCTGCCTGTTGAAATAAATTCATTTTTCTAGGAAGGACTCAAATATTAACAAGTCCATAGGCTCTTATGCCATTATTAGAAAAATATTTTCTCCTCAATTTTTCTATGAAAGTCTATATACATGTCCAACTTCATATTCATCAGAGTGTCATGAGCATCACAATTAGTTGTCTATCATATATCTTCTTGAAGTAGAATGTAAGCTCCTCCACAAGAGAAAAGTCAACAAATATAGAAAGAACTTAATGCTGATCTGCTTGGATCTGTTACAGATGTAGTTTGTTGGCATTATTGTACTTATTACTGATTTTTCTTAGTTGAAAATCAGAGATGATTATCACCTGGTAGGGAAGTACTTACATGAATACTTCTGTAGGGGATACTTCTAAGTTAATATGCAATGATGTATTATACAATCAGATAAAAATTTAATACAATTGCTATAATAGTCAATTTCAGCAAAATGTATTACATAAAAGTATAGGTAAATCTGTAATAAAGAACCACCTAGAGAATCCACAATAGAACAACTGTCAATAAGAATGGTTACCTCACAAATGCTACAGTAATGTGCTGGTTCATCATTTGTTCTCCCATGCCATATAACCTCTTTTCCTGCTGTAATAAGAGCTTCCCTCAATGTCTGACATTGCTTTAGTACTTTCAGAAGACAATACCTATTGTGGAGAAAAATTATTTGTGACAAGTGAGTACTGAATATTTTTAGCATACAAGATGTACCAACAAGAAATAATTTTTAGAATCTTGGTTCTTTGGTCTATTGATATGACTATTAGAGGGTATAAAATTAGGTAAAGTACCAAAGGAAAAAAATTATTACTATTTAATCATCACCCAAGGCTATTTTTCCCATTGTTTCTCAGAGAGAGTGGAAAGGGGGGGAGAAAAAGAAACATCAATGTGAGAGAAACACATCAATCGGTTACCTTCCCCACCTACCCCAATCAGGAATCAAGCCTGCAACCGAGGTTCATGCCCTTGCTGGAATTGAACCTTGGATCCTTCAGACCACAAGCTAATGCTATAACCAATGAGCCAAACCAGCTATGGCAAAAAAATATTATTGGTTCAATATTAATTTGAAGGTAGTATAATGGAATTTTTCATTTCTAGTACCACAAATTCTCTATAATTTACACGTACCTTACGTTAATACTGCTGATGCAGTGAATAATACTGCAATGAACATAGGGGTGAACATGTTTGTGAACAGAAGTTTTCAAGTTTTGGGGGTATATACTCAGGAGAAGGATGGCTGGGTTGTATGGTAGCTCTATTCTTAATTTTTTGAGGAATCACCAGACTGCTTTCCATACTGGTTGTACCAGTCTACATTCCCATCAGCAGTGAATGAGGGTTCCTTTTTCTCCACAACCTCCCCAACATTTGTTACTGCTTATCTTGTTGATAAATGCCACTCTAACAGGTGTGAGGTAGTATTTCATTGTAGTTCTGACGTGCATCATTATATTGTTACCAACTTATATCTGATTACTAAACACATTTTATAATATGATCAGTAATATAGGAATTAACTTCCTTCAATTTATATTTCTGTTCTATTTTTACTTATCAAGTTTAACTATTTTTTGAAAAATGTTTTCATTTACTTTTGGGAGAGAGGGAGACAGAGAGAAAGACAGAAATCTTAATAAAGACACTGATCAGCTGCCTCCTGCATGACCCCTACTGGAGATTGAGCCTGCAACCCAGGCACGTGCCCGGGAATCAATCCACTGATCTCTTGGTTCATGGGTCAATGCTCAATCACTAAGGCATGCCAACCAGGCTTAACTATTTTTAAAAATCAAAACCCACTGAAATATGCCTAGGATAAAATTGTTATTTTTAATTCTCATCTGAGGATATGCTTTAATTGAAGAGAGAGCAAAAGTGAGAGAAATCAATGTGAGGGAGAAACACTGATTGGTTACCTCCCGTAAGTGCCTTTACTGGGGATCAAACCCAAAACTCAGGTATGTGCCCTGACCAGTATTTGAACCTGCAACCTTTTTGGTGCATATGAAAAGGCTCCAACCAAATGATGCATGTGGCTGGGGCTGGGATAAAATATTTTAAGATATACACAAACTTGTCAACTTATTTAAAAATATAAAACAAGTATGTATAACAATATAAATCACTATCTTCTCTATACTTTCCTCTCTTCATTTTCTGCCTATTATTCTCACCTATTTCCCCCTTTTTCCTTCAATGAAGATGAATCTTCTTTCAGCTGTAAAATCACATTTTGACACCTGCAGTCTTAGAAAAATAACTTTGTTCTGTGCAGTCAGTATTTCACTTTTTGCTCAACAAATTTCCTTTCTAACAGTACTGATTATTTTGGCAATTAGATAATAGGTTTTACTATATTACTTTACTAGTTTTAAAGTTTTATATGAAAAGATGCAATATACTACAAAGAAATGGAACTTGGTTTGTTAGCAGTAAACATTAAGCACGGTTAGTTTTCTTCTGGAATCAAAGGTGTAGAATTACTTGCCCTGATAGTGGAATCTTCAAAATGGACAGTTCTGCTAATTTTTATCTTACAACAATGAGTAACTGAATTGTGGTCATTAGGATCTCCTGCCAGCCATTTGATACACTAAGAGCAACAACTAGTTTCTGCAAGTCACTATACACCTAATAATTTTTATTTAAATCAAGCACAAAGCTGAGACATTTAAAAAGTCTGTATTTCTAATATTAAGAAGTACTTGTTATTGTCTGGGTGTTTCAATGTCCCCAAAACTCGTATGTTGAAATCCTCAAAACCAATGTGATGTATCAGGAAGTGGTGGCTTTGGGAGGTGATAACATCATGAATGAGATCAATGTCCTTTTAAAAGAAACCCTAGAGTTCAATCCCACACCCCCTTCTGTTGTTGGAGAACATGAGCCATCTATATAAACAAAGTAGTTGACCCTTATTAGATACCGAATATGCTCTTGTCTTGATATTTAATGTCTGCCTGAAGGCTCAGTGGTTAGAGTGTTAGCCCACAAACTGAAGTATCCTGGATTCAATTCCAGCCAAGGGGACGTACCTGGGTTACAGGCTTGGTTCCTGGCGCTGGTCCAGGTATGTGTGTGAGGCAACCAACCAATGTGTCTCTGTCACATCGGTTTCTCTCTCGCCCCACCCCCACTCTCTCTAAAAAGCAATGGAAAAAAATATCCTCAGGTCAGGATTGAAAAAAAAAAAGTTGTGGCAAGAATGCCAACAGAAATTTCAATAGTCTATATACACTGAACACACATATTTAGACATGAATATTCTATGCTAAGTAAGACGCACATAATTCCCCAAAAAACATGAAAAGTATTCCTATTTAAAAAACAATATGTTTTTTATTCACTTCAGATGGAAGAAGGGAGAAAGAAGCATCAATGATGACAGAGTGTCATCAATTGGCTGCCTCCTACACGGCCCGAACTGGGAATTGAGCCCACAACCTAAGTATGTGCCCTGACCAGGAATTGAACTATGCGGTTCACGGGTTGACATTCAACCACTCAGCCATGCTGGCCGGGCCTATTATTATTCCTATTTTAATGAAAATAAAATGGAGTTTAGTAATAATTTGCCAGGTTCCCTAGAATAGTAAATGCAGGAAACAAGACTGATTCCAGGGCTTAAGACTTCTAATGTTTAGTCCATTTTGAGTGCCTATTCATACACTTACACTATGCTGTACGGTGCTCCCTTTTAACATTTTCTGGTAATATGAGGTAAAATATTTCACAAGACTTAGAAACATTTTTTAAAAGAGCAAATAATAATTCATATGTATATAAAAGAAAATCTGTGATCAGTGTTTTCACTGGTAACATACTGTTTAAAAATTAGAGAATTTTCAATGCCTTTGATGTTATTATAAAATATAAAATTCTATAGCACATCAATGAGAATGGATAAAAATGTGTATTCTAAACAAAGATTTTGTGCTATATAATGACCTGGTTTGTTATGGTCCTCTTAAACTTAAGGTTTCCTAATGTTTAACTTACAGAAAATGTGTTACTAATTTTTAAAAATCTGTTTAAATTTTATTCAGTTTGACATGCTTTCAAAGGTAACTACAAAGTAGTTAATCTACTGGTGCATAAATCAGATTAACCCATATTACATTAACTTGATAATAGTGTTATTTAACTCTCCTCCAAAATTTAAAAAACTTGGTTGCAACAACTTAAACTTATTAGACCATTATAGTTGGTTTCTTTTACCATTCAAGTGCACAAAGAACAATCTCTATTTAGATACTGAATCAGTATCTAAAGAGCTCACCTGCTGCTCAGTATCTAAAGAACTCACTTAATTCCTTTCAAGGATTCCACTAAAAGGAGTACTTTAATGGTAAAGCATGATAGATATATGAGTCTCATTAAAATGAAGTAATAGCACTGACTGGTGTGCTCAGTGGTTAGAGCATTAAAGGGTTCTGGGTTTGATTCCTGACCAATAGAACGTACCTGGTTTATTGGTTCAATCCCTGGCCTTGGTGAGGGCTCCTGCAGGGGGCAACCAATCAAATGATGTGTCTTTCTCACACTGATGTTTCTCTCTCTCTCTGTCTCTCTCTGCCTTACACTCTGCCTAAACTCAATGTTGGGGGGGAGGGGAAGGAGAAGAAGTAATAGAGTCACAGTACACACAGAGAATATACAGCCCAAAATAATAGATTTCATTACCTTAAAATATCAAGCATAAATTGTAAAATGAAGATTTTCTTTAACTTTTGATGAACTCATTTTAAAATTAAAACTAAAAGAAACCTTTATTTTGAAAACTATAGTAATATCTTATGACACACTAATGAAAATAATTATAAGTGGAGCAGTGAATTATCTTTGAGCTGTCTATGGAAAATATATCCATTCAATTTAAACAACCCCAATCTTTAACAGTGAAGCCCACAGCAAATCATAATGGACCAGATGTATTAGAATTTAGGTTTTAGATGAAATGACTAAACTGGCCCTTTTTGTGAGTCATAGCTGCTCTGGGATACAGCCATGTCCTGGGGCCTGTAAATTAAGTTTCAGAAGGCACACTGTGCCTAAGATAACAGAAGAACATAGCCTGCAAAGTGTAGAAACATTTAGCTCTGTTCTTTCCTTTCTGTTCTTAAAATAACAGCGTCACTGACTGACACCCCAAGATGTCTCATAGACCTCTCCTGTTTAAGACTGCTGGCCATTATCACATAGACCTGGAGAGGATGCCACCAGGAGCTGAATAAATGAGACTGCTGGAGCTCACATAAGAGCTAACCAATCAGCACAGCACAGGACCTTGAATCCCTTAATCATGGTGACTCATCATTTTTGCTTTATAAAACCTGTTGTCTGTAAACCATCAGCGGATTTTGTGTTTTCCTAGTGCAAGCTGCCTGTTCTCTGTTGAGTGGGGCTGGGCAACAAATGCCATTTTCTGTCACTGCACTGAGATGTCAGTGTAACTGGCTACCTGCAGCTCTGGGTGGATGAACTCTTTGGTCAGGTGCAACACCAAAAATATACAAGAATGTTTATCTACTGTGATACACATAAAAAAATCATTAAGAAGGGTTCTTAATGCTTAAAAGAGACTAAAAAGACACAACACCAAATCTAAACTGAGTGAGAATGTTGAGTGAACTTGAAT